CCAAAAAAGCGGGGAAAAAAAAAAAAAAAAAAAAAAAAAAAAAAAGATTCTGAAGAGAAGTGTCATCTTGCACAGAGAGGCAGCATTAGGCTGACTTTGATTTGAATACCAATTCACCTACTCAGCCACTGCCTAACTTTGGGCAATTATTAACGTGGTACTCAGTCTCCTTGCCTACAACACAGGGCTGACCACCCTCCTCCCAGGGTCACTGTCAGGATGAGAAATAATATTCAACCTCAGCCCAGTATCAGCACAGGGAAAGCACTCACTCAATAAATGGAAGCTGTTGTTGTTATGACTAATAAAAAGAATTTAAAACATCTTTATGGTCCATATAGTTAAGGCTGAGATTTCTTCCTGGGGAATAATATAGCATATTTGTTTATTTGCTTGAAAGAATAAATAAAGAGTCAGTAACCTATCAGGACCATTTTTAAACCATAATCAAGTTGCTCTTTTACCACAGACATATCCATGAACGCCCACCTTCACAGAATTTAATGGCAGTCCTCAGTGCCCCCCACCAACTAGACAACCAGTTTTAGGACAGTAGCCACAGTACATTCAGCTGAGTATCATAAAGATAATTTCAATCTATTTTACCCTCACCATGAAACACTTATAGTATACATATAACTATTATAGTACTACAAGCACAGGTTTTAGACAGATAGGTCAGGATTAGCCTGTCTCTACTATTTGCTGTCTAAACCTTGTTAAGAGTCAGAATCTTTATCCATAAAATGGTGAAATAACTTCTATTTCATGGTGCCATGAGGATGTGAAAATGAGACACTGTGGATAAAATGCTTAGCAAGGCACCTAGAACATAGTAACTAACACTCAATAAGTGAGAGCTGTGACAACCCTGATATGGAAATCATCAGAGCTCACAAAGCCGATGAACATTTCCCTACGTCTCTACAATGAGTCCAGAGCAACGTCTATCTTCCCTGTAAAGTAGTGGTATGAATGCTATCATCTAAGCAACATTTCTTACAGGCAAATAAGACATGAATACAAAGCATCAGGTCTTACCCCATGAAGTTAAAAACTCAGCAGCATAGCGATAGAGGCGGTTCATGATCTCAATCACAATGGCATAAATGATGCTGGGCACATACAACAAGACACTGGTCCACTCAGACCCACTGTTCTCATGCAGATCCAAGGCCCAGGCCTCCATGTCAAAGTAAATCATCATGACATACAGAGAGAAATAGAGGCAGAGGCACACAAACGGCAGAGAGACCAGGTAAATGCGCAGCTGTCTCTTGTAGCTGGGATAGAGAGGTTCTTCCCTGCCAGTGATGGAATTGATACCCAGGATTCCATGAAATCCTGGCCGGGGCTCCTCAAACTGTCTCTTCATGACCAGTGTCCCCCACCTGTAGGTCATGTTGGCACAGCCACGCTTCCACACTTCTAGGATCACTGTGGACCAGAGCAGGTTGAACGAGGCGAAGATCACGTACTTGTCATAGTCTTCCCACACGAACAAGTAGTAAGGTAGCCCAATGACAGCCATGGGGATTAAGGCAAAAGTGAAATATTCCAAAAATCCAAAGTAAAGAGCGATTGTTTCCCCGAAGTAGCCACGAATATTGTCTATGGTGGAAGGAAAGAAAGAACTTAAGTAGAGACTACCAAAGACTTTTTTTTCAAATCATGTCAAGTTAGCTTATTCATTTTTTAGTTAAGTGAGGATCATTTAATATCCTCATTTGCCAATCAGTATGTGGTGGTTAGCTGGTCCCCCGTGCAGTATAAAGAACCCATTAATCTGTGTGGCAAGCCCAGCATTCCCCAGTTTAGGGCCCAGGGCTCAATTGCTGGGGCTGCTCTGCCAGGTGCCCTGGCTGTTTCCCCTTTACTTCCTCACCTGATGCATACCTCCTTCCCAAAGGAAAAATCACCTTGGAGCTTGCCCCAAATCTCCAAGGTCCTAGTTTAAGTTCAGCTATGGCCATTGAACCATTTTAATCTGGGGGCTTAATTTATGCTCCCCACTTTTCTCCCACTTTAGTGTTATAGTTATAAATACTCTTTTCAAAGAAGACTCCTTGTCCATGGTATCCTGCTCTCCCTACTCAAAGATACATATTTTCATCAATGTGTCACAACAAATTTTTCAATACACTGAAGAAAAATTACTCAAAAGCACAAAACAAGATTCTACACATTAACTTCTAGAACAGCCGTGGAACTCATTTTTCTATACCTTCATATAAGCACTAGGCAGAAGAAGGTCCAAGCAACATTACTGCTAATATCTGTGAACTCAACACAAGCTAACTAACCTAACAGTGTGTTCGCGAACACACTGCCAACCTTGACCACATGGGGAGTGCCTGGATCATAAGAGCATCCTGCACTGGCACCAGGGTGGGATGCAAGAGGTGTGGGGAAGTGTGGCAATTGGAGTTATTATTTCTTAATTAACTACTTACAGTGAAAATGTAATTTTTTAAAAATATAACTCTATCACATCAGTCTATGGAGGTGGGTTAGGATGAACTGGGGTAAGCCATTTTCTCCTATCCTTAACTCTTCTAACTAACCCAGGAGCAAATGAGAACAGTAGGTATAATGAGGTCACCTCAAATCGGAATCAGGATAAAGGATATCCAATCAATGGAGGAAAAAAACCCCAAAAAACACTACTCATGGTGCTGGGCTCCAAATCAGACATTTCCCCTTATTGATCTTGGGGAAGCTCAACATTTGTCTGCACCCTGGCTACATCACTGGTCCCAGCACTCCTCAAGGGCTTCAAACTCACTGCCACCCATGCCCAGCCTTCACCACCAACTCCCTTACTTTCTCAGAAGTAGCTAATAGAAGGTATCGCCTTGTAAGTCTTCAGGCAATATTAAAATTTACTGGCATTTAAATGCCAAAACAAAGTAAAAAATTTGTTATTATAAGTCTAACATAAAATGACCATTATATGATTTAGAACTATTGAAAACTCTTCCTTTCAGGGAATTTAAGAAAAATTCAAAACGCAATTTCAAAGTTTGATCTTAAAAACAATCTTTGCTTATTGTTGCAACATTATAATAGTTGCTTTCAGAAATGGAAATTAGAAAGAAAATTATTTTAGAAAGATTCCTTCAAACAAAATCAAAAGAGAAATGCCCTATAAAGAAAAAATGATAATGCTTACAGTGAAATTTACCAGCTTAATTATAATTCTTATGCTTAAAAAACATAACCAAACCAACATGTGAACATCTACATTGACATAACTACATAAAGTAATGTTCAACACATACCAAGTAAATTAATAATTATTCTTATAACTGTATTCATAGAAAATGGATAGATCCAGTAATATACACCAAGATACTGATGAACTACCTCAAAAGATGTTCAGGCCTGCTAGTCTGTTCTAGGTATGAGTACAACTTGGCCCACTCTAAATAATTAGCTCTACAGAAATAGAAATTTTTAAAAACCAAATATTCAAAGTCAAACTAAATTCCTATAAAACTGTTTTACTCCAACTCTGAAACATGTTCATGAAGGCCACTCTGAATTGCCTGTGGTATTGGTGAAATCTAGTGAGAGCTTGTGATTCAGTTGATTTAGAATGGTATTAGAAAGTAAAAAAGAATAAATAGGTTATCTCACCCATCTTATTCCCAGCCCCCCACACACACACATTTTCCCACATGCAGCTGGTGAGCCCTGCCTGGCAGAACACTAAATATCTGCCCAAGGAAGATGATGGACCGTAACTTTTCATTAGCAGTATTCCTCTTCTATAAGAGAACAGGTGCTGACACATACCTATGGGCTGATACTTTAAAGTAAACCGAGTGTACCAGGTGTCCTCAAGTTTCTTCAGAGCTTCATTATCATGCAGTGGAAACACCTGAGTCACAATGCGAGCCGTAAGCAGTCTTCTCACTGCAGAGGGAAAATGTGCCAAATGACATAAAACAGATTGGAGATTGCTCATGAAATTCTTCAGCAAACACTATACGGACACTCCAGTAAGAGAGGAGTACTACACAGAGGTCAATGTCATCCTGCCTACTGCACATGTGTATATTCTTTTGGTTTTTCAGAATGTAAGTATCTTTACTATTGTCTTTGACTATGAAAGCAATACAAACTGAAGTAAAATTTTAAGTCATAGAGAAGTGTACAAATTAGAATATGAGGCCCCTGTTATTCTCTCCCTTCCCTCCAAAATAACCCCCATAATAGCAATTTAGTGTACAAACATTTCAAAATATATACCCACAAATATATACTTTAAAAACAAAAATGGGGGGCCGGCCCGGTGGCACACTGGATAGTGCGCCGCTTGGGAAGCACGGCGGCGCTCCCGTCCGAGGGTTCGGATCCCACATACAGACCGGTTCCCGCTCACTTGCTGAGCGAGGCGCGGGAGCAACGCCGAGGGTTGCGATCCCGTTGCCGGTCCCCGGTCCAGTACGGGGGCAACACTGAGGGTTGCGATCCGTTGCCGGACACGGAAAAAGACAAAAAAAAAAAAAAAATGGAATCATTTTATATATATCACATTGCTCTGTAATATTTTCTCCTGTGGTAGTATATAATGAATATTTTTCAATGCCAATATAAATAGAACATGAAATATACTTTTAAGTGTCATAATATTCCCTTGTATGAAATGCTATAATTTAACTAATCCTCTATCGAAAAATATTTTTTTCCCTTTTTTTGCTATTATAATGTTAACATTCCTGTACAAACACCCTTTCCCCCTGTTTACTATATCTCCTTAATATATTTACTTAGAAGTGAAATTGCTAGGTCCAACAGCATAAGTATTTTACATGTGAACACATATTACATAATTGCCCCTAGAAAAATGTTACCAATCTGTTCTACTACTATATGAAGGAAGAATGAAGTTCCTTTCATTCTCGTTGATACTGAGTATTTTCAATAATTTTCATCTTTTCTAATCTAATAATAAATGCTTACATTCAGAAACAGCAAATATCAAAATCAAATTAAGACTTCCTACTTTTCAGCAGTCATTTGGCTAGTATGGTTTTAACACGCATACACATATGTGGACAAGACTAATTTAACCAAAGACAGTATCTCCTGGCAATATTAAATTTAAATGGGACATTCTCTCATCCACAGTAATTACTTAGAGTGACTCACTGTAGGGAAGGGATGTCTTCAGATCCTCAAGAGGAAGTGCGTTCAGTAGATACGGAGAACTCAAATGCAATGCCTTGTGCCATATTTGGGGAGAGGGGATATTTTCCACACAAGTTCCTAGCATAGTCTCTTTACTAAAGAATATGGCTGTTTATAAGATGGAATTTGCATCAAGAAAGGATGCTTTGCTGTTTTCATCCACTGATAAGCTTTGAGCTCCTTAAGGTTTATTAGCTCAACTCTTCCGACGGCTGCCCCCCTTATCTCTTATCTACCTGTCACCAAATACAGGGATGAGAATATCAGGCATGAGAGCCCTCAATAAGGACCGGCAAATAAAGGTCTACAGTATGGAAAAGAAACATGATTGAAGTTTTCTATGTAGAAATACTACATATAACAGAAAGGGACAGTGTATTCTCAGGACAGATCCCTATCATTAAATCTTCAGAGTAATTTAAAAGTAAACCCAACTTCTTAGAAATGAAAAAAAGATAACAAAGAAGAGATATCTGATACTAACAACAGGAAACAGTTTGGGTCTAAAAAAGGTTCTTAATATATGGTTCTTATAATTATATCTCATAAGTATGTTATACAGAGGAAAAAAGTTTTTAAAAGGTAGGGTTGTAATGAACTCTTTTATGACTGAAAAAGGTAAATGCTCAAAATACCAGTAATTAGGGTAAAAAGACATGGTTTAATAAGCTTCTGTTGTTATCAAACCCATTTTTTAATATTTTTATTCTAAAGAGTTGCACAGGATTTTTCTTCAGCTAACATGAGTTAAAGTTGATCACCCACAACTATTGAGATTCTTAGCCCTTATTTGGGGATGCACAAGCTGTAGTTGATTCTATTACTATCCTTTTCAATTACTGCATCAAGTTTTTTAACTTTGAACTGACTTACAGCATCTAAATTATTATTTTACTTTTCTAAGTTCTTTTTCAAAAGATGACTCTATTCTTCTTTCAGGCAGGCATAAAAACCAGCTTGTATACTTCTAAAAATAGGACTATGAACCGAGGACTCAGGGAGAATATAAAGCTGCAGGTCCTAAATTACTGGGCTTCTCCTCACCATCAATGCCAAAAGCATGGTTCTGGTCTCAGCTTCTAAAAATAGAGGTTTGCTTTACTTTTTAAAAATCCTTCAACATTCTCATGTCACTAAGAACGTAATTACTAGGAAGGAGCCTTACCTTCAAGGAAAATATGATGCTGTGTGGGCCTATTTAAAGGAAGCAACAACTTAAACCAGATTCCCTCCTTCAAGAGTGCTGAATGATCTCTTGTCAAGTACTGGGGTTATGACTACTATAGCCATTGAACAATCTGCCAAATAAATCAAAATCTAATTTAGGGGAGACTATCAGTACCCTGGTTTATAGTAGGGCCCTCTAAATTAGATAATGCAATATTAATACTAACACTGCTTCTGTCTTTGGTTTATGAGACACGTGTTTAACTCAAAAGTAAAAATAAAAACAAAAATGTCTCTCACAACTCCTTATGGTGTCTCTGTGCAACAGGGAGGAGCAGGTCACACTGCCCCCAACCCAGCAGAGGGGTGATGCGCCCAAAGAACACCAACAGGAGGCGAAGGCTGGTAGCCTTGGCACAATGAAGACACCCCTCGCTCCCTGCACCTGCTGCTGTGCCAGAACCCAATTCGAGTACTCAGGCATCAACAGACCACTCCCATCTTAGTAAAGAAAAAAATGCTCTCAGGGATACCTATGTTTTCAAACTACATTTTTATGCTACTGTATTGTGTTCATCCCTGCTTAATATAAAAACCACAAATACATATGTGGCAAAATACAGTGTGTGTGTGTGTGTCTGTGTGCTGTACTACAATGGCTGAATCTCCTCATGCACATTCCCACTACATGATATTTACTTAAAATCTACTCTATTATTCTTATAAGACTGGTTGAAGATTTTAGAAGACAGATTGTATCTGACCACTTTCATCTACCCATCCTTATATATAGAAGATATTCAAAAGAAGCTACCATAATGTTCTAAAAAAATAACTACACAATATTAAACACATAAGATGTCAGATCCCATCAGTCAAAATATGGTAATTGTCTGATAGACATTTTGAGACAGAGCTTTAACCTAAAGTAAGTAACATCCCTTAGGATACTGTTAATATGTAAATAATCTTGGATCCCTTAACTCCTCTTTCTACAGAAAAGTTTTCATTAGGCTATTTGCATGACTGTTGACTATCAAGAAGCAATAGAAGGTAGAGTCTAAGACATGAAGAGATCTTAGCTCATACAGAACCCAGCAACGAAAGCTATCAAGACGAACACTTGGTGACTAAGACACACAAGGAGCCAAGGTCTAGTTCTCCATGTTGCTAGTTGTTTGGTGGAAGAGCCCTAATGTACACATCTCACAGTACCACCTAACTGCTTCAAAATCATGCTAATAATGAAACAACTTGCTATCTACTTAACAAAAACTTTCTATCAAAACACGACATTTTGGCAAGCAGCAAGCAAATTTATAACTACTGTGTGTAAAATGAAAATCAAATTAAACCTAAGATATGGAGAGTGTTTCTCATGAAAGCCCTGGCCACCTCCCACAGTGCTGATGGGCATCACACTGAGCAGGCTAAAATCTCTCCTCTAACCAGCCTCAAAGAAGAGGCTGCCCAGGGAAGTGGCTCCCACAAAACTGCAAGGCAAAATAAGCCTTCCCACTTATTTCTGTGGATTAACTTAATGAAAATGCAGGATTTTAAGTTACTCAGTTTTATTAGTTCTGAAATTTGCACTCTGAAAATAGGTCACAGTTTATAATTATGCATATACCATTTCGTCTTCAACCAAATATTCTGATATAAAACTTAAATGATGCAAAGACAACACAGCATTTTTAAGGATTACATTTTCGAAGGCATAAAGGGAAAGAATAATGCAGAATTTAAAATCCAGCCTTAACAACTTAAATGACTCTTATCTCAGATGGTATAAAACTTTCAAATGACCATGACTGAGATGATTTTATTATCTTTGTATTTGGTACAAAAAAGAAAGAAAGAAAGAAAAGGAAGGGAGAGAAGGGAGGGAGGGAGGGATGAAGCAGGAAAGGAAGGAGGATGCTTGTTTACAAAAGTCTCATCCTGCCAGCAAGAAACTTATTTCTATTTTGGCTTCAAGACACCAAATATACACCAAGGGAAATATATTTGTGTATTCCTCTAAGGTTTTCATTAAGCTAAAAATTTCTCTCTTTGAAGCAACTAGGAGCATTTGGAAAACTGCTGCTCCACTGTCCCATCTGATGAAAGAGCACACTCACTCTTCTCTCTGTCTCAGCAACACCTAAGAGGATGTACCCGTGCAGAAACTCATAGGTGGAGGCAGAGATTTCCACATGCTGGTCTGATCAATGTGGATGAACAGGAAGAAATGGGATGCTTACAGTAACAACCAGAACAGTGCCTCAGTCTGCTTTATATTTTATTTGATGCAGTACCCAGCTGTGTCTGAAAACATGCCTTCCCACCAAGAAATTAATAAAGATTTAAAATTTTTGGAACAGCACCAAACAATTGCTTAAATATAGAATGTGGAACTCCTCACTACAAATGGTGGCAGAAAGATACCTCTGCCCTGTTCTTGTTCATGATATCAAGTTAAAAACAAAGGAAACAAGAAACAGAAAAAGAAACCTTTATCTTTGATGAAAGTAAGAAAAAGCAAACTAAAACCCCCAATCACAAAATAGGAAAAG